TGAGTCACTTCCAACACTAGCTGAGTGCTTGTCTCTTGCATCGTCTGACATCGTTATCATATGCCGGAACCGTTTAAAAGGGAAGAATGACTTCAAGCATAACATTGTATTTACATCAGTCTAGATTCTTTCCATTTCGACTGCCACTTGCAGTGGTATGATGTTATACTTATACCCAATATGTGGAGTACTGTGCAAAAACGTTTACGTCAGCCAGGATTCGAACCCAGATCTTACTCTCTCCGGGAGCGTATGCTAACCGTTACACTACCGACGCTCGTTTTGCACAGCACTCTTATTTACGCTATAACGCGTTGTCTCCCAACAGCCAACCGTCGACGGTCTGGCGGGGTAGCTGCTATCGGCACTGAACACACTTGGGTTGACAAACATTGGATATCGATAATCAGTCTATTCTGTCTATTTTGACTGCCACTTGCGCGTAAATAAGAGTGCTGTGCAAAGCGAGCGTCGGTAGTGCAATGGTCAGCATACGCTCCCGGAAAGAGTGAGATCTGGGTTCGAATTCCGGCTGACGCAAACGTTTTTGCAAATCACTCCACATATTGGGTATTGTATTTACATTTATCAAATTTGTAAAGTGTTGCTCAAAAGCTCGACACTTTTCACATTATATACTAACGCTCTCCTAGAATGTTGCATATAATTTCTTTCATCAGTTCTATAGATACATCACACTTTTAATGAGGAAATTTACATGCATATAATTTATTATCACCATTACTTTATATGCAACAGATAGTGTAGCTCAGGACTTAATTCGGATTTATTGGTGGATGACGATGTTATCGTGTTTTCCTCAGCTGTAGCAACTGACTAATTCGGTTGAATTTTATTCTTCAAATCGTCTATAAGTGGATCATTGGTCGGTTCATCTTTAGATTTGTGACTGAATGACATCTTGAGCTAGACATGGACCACATGATAAGCAGCATGCAATTTATGAAGAGGATATTTGGTTCTTTTTGGTTACAAGGCGAGAAATGAATATCCAACCTCACTCGCTGAACAGGGACATTTCATAGGAGTGTAAGTAGTCATTCCTAGAGCCCTACATGGCCGGTCTTTCAAAAGAACCTTTTATAAGGCTCTATAATTCAAAATAAAACTATGTTTCACAAGACCACGCGTCTTTTTTTCTTTGTCTTGCTCATAATTCTCTGGACAGACCTCCTTGCTTACATTGCTAATAGTCATTCGATAGCACAAGTTTCGAAGAACCTAAAATATAGGCTTGCTTTATGGAAAAGCCCTTTGGTAGCGTTGTAGGAGGAAGAGATGATTTGTACGTTGCACCTCACCAGACAGAGCTCTTTCTTTGGACTGTCAGTAATAACACGATAGCGTAATGTTTGCTGATTCCAACGCTGAGTTTATTTTCTAGAAAGATCGTTTCTCTATAGTACAGCAGGAAGATATGCCGCTCACCAAAGCGCGAATCAATTTATGGTCATGTGAAAACGGCTACATCCGCCCTCCCCCACCATCCCATAGAAGAGCCAGAAATACCTTCCCGCGCATGTGAATCAATTTTATCTTCCGCGTTGCAGTGCAGAGAAACGGTCTTTCCTGAAAATTTGTCCAAAGAAAGAGCTCTGCCATGTGAGAAAAATGCGTGCGTGAAACACAAGGGATTTTCCTTTGTAACAACGTCAAAAGAGGCTTTTTCGAAAATTCAACTATTTGGAGATGTAGCCAGAGATTTGAGCTTTCGCAAAATACTAGCGCTCTTATGGAAGTTTTATGTCTAGCGAATGAGGTCGGATATTCATTTGTCCTCTCATAACTAGAAAGAACCAGATATTGTAAAAGCTTTACGGATGGAAATATATATGAAAGCTATCACCTGTATCACCTGTCGTCCCGTTGATCATCGAGTGACTCGAGCGGGTACCAGCAACTCTTCCATTTTTCCCTATCGCGCGCAAGAGTAGCCCAGTGGGTCCTCCTCGCTCTAGGGATTCGCTGGGCATCATATCTTTCTTCCATCGCTTTCGTGAAGAAATTGGACCAACGGGTCAGTGGTCTTCCTCTAGAGCGCTTGACGTCCCGAGGAATCCAGCCGGTAACGGCTCTCGTCCATCGGTCTAGAGCGCTTGACGTCCCGAGGAATCCAGCCGGTAACGGCTCTCGTCCATCGGTTGTCGTTGAAGCGCATCACGTGTCCGGCCCACCTTATTTTCGATATCCTGGCGTGTAGAACGGCGTCTCTGATTTTCGATCGTTGACGTATGTCGGAAAACATCCGACTCCGTGCCCACCTTTTCACTCGACAATCGTCCCTGCCCTAACGTATGCAGCAGAAAACCTGGTCGCTACGTAAGCAGGATGAAAGATCACTTGGAGTTATCGAACGCGCAGTCGAAAGGTCGATGCTAGGAGTATCCCGTATTTCGCAAATGAGACAAAGGATCCGAAGTTCCGACATACGTCATGAAAGCTATATATATATATATATATATATATATATATATATATATATATATATAGTAATATAGAGTAATGTGCAAAACTTTCGCGTCAGGCGGGACTAGAACCAGCACCTCACTGTTTTCAGTAGCTCGTGCTCTATCAGTTACACTACTGACGCCCATTTTGCACAGCACTCTTTCTACGCTACAGCACACCTATCTCTCAGCCGCCAGCGTCAACGGCCTGGCCCGGGTAGGGCGTATCGACATTGAACCCAGTTACGCTTACAGATATTGAGCATCAAAGATCTAATAGAATTGTTTTTATTTAACCGCTTCAACTGTGCAACATGGGCGTCATTAGTGTAACGGATAAAGCACGCGCTGCCGGAAAGGATGAGGTGCGGGTTCTAGTCCCGCCCGAAGCGAAAGTTTTCCACATCACTCTACATTACTGAGTAAACATATGAATTCATACCACCGCTAAAGCGGTTAAATAAAAACAATTCCATTTGGATGGAAAGTGTTGTGCAGTTAACTGCTCTTGGCTGGTATCGTCAAATATATAAAGCTTTCGTTTTGAGTGTTTTCCTAAAAATCACGCTAAACTTTCAATATGCCTAAGAATCATTGTTGAGCCGTGCAAATCTCTCTTTGTTTTACTTTGTGTTTGGATATTCAGATATTTGTGTGCGATTTCAACGCTATCTTATGTGCGACGTATACTGCATCACAGGACTTACTTCGTAATTGCTTGATGGTGTTGTTACTGTGATTTCTTTAGCTGTGGTAACTGATTGATTCAGTTGAGTGTCATGGTTCTTCAATTTCTTTAAAATTGGATCATTCGTCGATTTGTTTTGAGATTTGTGACTGGATAACATCTTGAGCTAAAAATGGCCCACATGAAAAACACAGTAAAATATCTGAAGTGAACATCGTAGTACAGTTTTGAGGATGATTTTCAAAAGCTGTAGTACTACGAAAACTTCTGCACGTTCTCGTTCTTAAAAGTTCTTCCTACTTCACTTCTCACTGCCACAAAAAATGCTATGAGAAAGAAAAATCAACCTAACCCACCTTTCTACGGTTTATTCATACTAACAATGAGGTATGCCTCTTTGCATAAATTGAGAGTAGTTTTTATGATAATGATATGAGAGTGTTTTTAATTGTTTTCACTTGTTATCAATACCGTTATCAATTCAAACGCTATCGTTTTGCTTCAGTACGCATAAATCCCTTGCGTATGAGAGATATTAAGTTTGGTAGCCCTGCAACAATGTAATATCTCTCCATAAGTCGCGTAAGGTGAGATTGAACACGTGTAGACCGTAACCACGTAAATTTGTCTTGGGCCACATATGGATTCGGTAGTACTCGTATGTCTTCTGAGCCAAACTGGATTTAAGTTCTACAAGTAAATAGACCCGATAACCCAACAAACACATCGGTAAGAGCAGTGAGCGAAGTGGCCACATTTCCACCACTTCATGGAAATATCCAGTACACTAGCGAGAAAGGGCGATCTCTCAAAACCCATTTCTGTTGAATGAACTAATAATGAGAAAGTAGAGGCTGCTGTTCGCAATACGCCACTCGTGATGTCAAAGAAAACTTATTGTTCAGAATATGCCAAACTAGAAGGTAAAAAGGACAAAGGCTAAAGCTCTCGGCGTTGATCAATCCCTGAGGGATGCGCCATGCATTCGACTTCAATTTTTAACTTCGTTTGAGGTGATTGAATGCATATCTGGCCATTACAATGACTCGCGGAGGCCTCCCGCTGAACCGAGTCAGTGCTGCTTATCCTCCCAGACAAGTCTGAGACCTGTCTGGTACCAATTTACCGTCCCCTGAGGGATGGATGGCTTGGTGAGCCATGAGCGCGAGATCGGACCATTGACCTCGTGTGCGACGCAAAGCTCCTCTAACCACTGCGCCACATGCGCTCCAACTAGAAGGTAACTAGCTAATAAGTGTACAATAATGACTTCGCCGCTTTTTTTCTGCTGTAGTGATAGTACACATATAGATATGAAAATTCTTTGAAATGCGTTGAAACACTATTTATTGACATATTTTTCATATACAAAATATTTGATATACTGGTTTCTATAGGACTTTGAAGATGACTTTTGTACCTGAATAACGCCATTGTTTCAATCTGCTAATTCGTAATCTGAATTTGATCATGTCAATTGCTAATCTGACAGTGCAATGTTGGGAGAGCAAGGTGGGTAAGAAAAAACCTCTTAAAACCTCCCACCTCAGCTCTTTTGTGACGTTTACGATTGGTTTTGCAACAGGAAGTCGAGCAATGACAATTTGCGCGACATCGATATCGTTCAATTGCGCATTTCCTTGGCATTTGGCAGAGAGATTTTGCCTGTAATTGCTTTGAGATAGAGCTCGATCTAAGCTCCATAAATCTGTGGGACGCTTCACTAGCGGTTTCCCTTAAACTCCATTCGTGATATGAGCAACAAGCGAGCAATGTTTTCACGACATCCATCTTGAAGCAAGCTTAGGCCAGTTGTACACGAAAATGTTCGCAAGAAAATGCGAAATTGAACGGTACTAAAATCATGCAAAATCGCCGTGATAACTTTGGTCTTTATTGCTCTTATGCCAGAACATATGTATCACCTGTATTACATGTCATCCCGTTGATCGTCGAGTGAATTGAGCGGGTACCAGCAACTCTTCCATTTTTCCCTATCGCGTGGAAGAGTAGCCCAGTGGATTCTCGTTGCTCTAAGAATTCTTTAGCATCATGTCTTTCTGCTATGCTTTTCGTGAAGAAACGTACCATCGGGTCGGTGATCTTCCTGTAGAGCCCTTGATATCCCGAGGAATCCAGTCGGTAACGGCTCTCGTCCATCGGTTGTCGTTGAAGCGCGTCACGTGTCCGGCCCTCCTTATTTTCGATATCCTGGCGTGTAGAACGGCGTTTCTGATTTTCGATCGTTGACTTCGGTCGCAACTTCGGATCCTTTCTCTCATTTGGGAGATACGGGATACTCCCAGCATCGACCTTTCGACTGCGCGTTCGATAACGCCAAGTGATTTTTCATCGTGCTTACGTAGCGACCAGGTTTCTGCTGCATACGTTAGGGCAGGGATAATCGTCGAGTCGAAAAGGTGGACACGGAGTTGGATGTTTTTTGTCCTCTTCACTACATCTTTGATGCTCTTAAACGTTCCACAGGCCGCTCGTTTCCTCCTGCTCAATTCTAGAGCTAGGTCGTTCATCATGTTGATTTCACGGACTAGATAGACGTAACTGGAGCATTCGGAGACTGTCGTTCCGTTGAGCGTAAATGGGGCATTAGAAAACCATCCGTTCCTCATGAACATCATTTTCGTCGGATTTAGTCGAAGACCAATCTTTCCACAGCGTTATCGAAATCGGTCAACATTCGTTCCGCTTGGCTGATGTTTGGTGTTATGAGAACGATATTGTCAGCAAAGCGAAGATGCTTTAATTTTCGACCGTCAAATTTCACTCCCATATCGTCCCATTCTAATGTTCGCATGAAGTTTTGGAGGGTGGCAGTGAATAATTTTGGCGGAACTATATCGCCTTGTCTAACCCCTCTATAGAAGACTGATGTGTATAGAATTTGACTAATCACCTCGTTCACCGCTTGCAGTGCCAGCTGAACGGCTTATGGCTGCGCGATATCGTGGACATCTGAGCAGCGAGACAAGCAGCCGTCTAAGTTTCTAGTGTATTTCTTCAAATACTAGACAGACTTTTTTACTGTAATCGTTTCATATGATTTCAGGAAGCTGTGATGAAAACCAGGAGCAGACCACAAACGCTCAACATGACATTCTTTTGGTAAAAGTTCGGCTGTGGAAATTTAGTAGTCTGACAGTTATTCCTAGAGTGAGCTTTTTACATGACCTCAAAAGACTAGGCTCATTGGTAATGATTATTCAAAAAGGGATCGTCATGCATTCAACTCCATTATGACATCGTAGACGTGACTGAAGGCACATTTATTGTATACAATGGTCACGGATGATTACTGATGTATTAAGTTAGCATTTTCTTTCACTCTGAGAAACAGTTTCGGTATGAATTCGGTACTCTCAGAAGTATGATGACCCTCATTTCCGTTTGATCAGATCGAATCAACGATTACACGTGTCGACTGATTTTTGTAAGGTTCGTTAAAGAACTCTGATTTCAATAGATTTGTTTTTTACCCAGGGTTATTCAAAATTTTTAAAGATCAGTTAAGTGAAGGCAGTGTTGAAGTATAATAACAGCGAGAAAATATCAACTAAAAACAAAAGGGTACAACTCGCAATATTTCACTTGCCGAGCAGTGTGGCATGTTCGCCTTTTGCTGCTCTTAGTATCGGGCCTGTGGTACTGGTGAGACGGGCGAAAGCATGCACATTAGCATGCAATATCAAACCTTGAAGAAAGCACAATGAAGAAGATCAATAAGGTCGTGTGTTACACAACACTTCTATCCTCTCTGACACATGCTGCTAGTGATTATTAGTTTGTAATTTAAAACGTCTCAGAAACGGATAGTATACATTACAATACGATAAGAGGGTCTCGTCGAATAACTACGGGCATTTTCTGTTACTGAAAGAAAACTCACTGAGCAAAATGTTTGTGATGACTTGTGATTGATGCGGTTGATTTTGTTAAAAAAGCAACTGTGATTGAAATGATAACACTTCCAGCAATCACTTTATGATCCGATCTGGTTAGCAAACTTTACACTGATTCTTTTAGAGCTTTGACTGTTAGTAGTGCTCTGCAATAGTTTGACGGTAGTATCAAGTACGGAGATCTCTAGTGATTTTTTACGGCCTGTGACTTTACACGACCGCCGCGCTTGTTAACAGTTCCAGATCGTAGTAATTCCACTTCATCCTTGATCGCAAATGGCACCGATGGTGGTGGTGCAGTCACCTGTGAGGTGAAAATTCTATATTAGTTCTGTGGTGTGACTATCTCTAAGAGCAAAACGTCATAAGAGTCCTTACATCAGATGGCTTTGGTGGTGGTGAAATAGCCTTCGGCTTTGGATCAGTCTTAACATCGGCAGCAAATCGAACGCGCTTTTCGTGCACACAAGTAGATTTCTGTTTTAGCGGTTCAACTGAAACCGTAACAATAAGAAGAAGTAAGACGTAAATGAAATTC